GAAACCCACTCTACATGAAACTGCGTAAAACATAGGTGATTATACACTCTCGACTCGCAGACTGCATTTACTAGACAAAGCATCTAGCCCTCGTTCAACCGTAACAAGCTGTTCAAATCATGATATAAGATTAACGCAAAGGATCCTCACTTCCTTAAAGTTGGACCACTTCTACGAGCTGTGGTCATGATTGCTCACTGGCACCCAGCTTCAACTTCTTAGGAGCTGGGCTTCCACCAGAGATCACCACATATATATAGAAAGACAGCATTGCAGCACTATATCATTTAACAAATTATAAGTGAATGAGTAAGGTAAGACCAATGATTTTAACATTCTCAATCAATAAAAGCAGTGTCCACATGTTAAGTACCTTATGGCAGCATAAAACCCAGCTGGAAATATCTTCCTTGTCTGCAATCACATACCATTTCACAATTAGAAATAAAATGTCAGGTAGACAAAAGGACACAATATAATTTGATTGATGTGATGATTACCAATGAGTAAGCCTCAATGTTCTTCCACAGAAAGACTCCTGCTAGAACTGCAGGATCAAAATAATTATGTAAATTCATACAACAAGAAAAGTTTTCTTTCCATATTCAAATATTCTTTTTATAAATATGAATCCAAAGCAAATATATGGCTCATGGACTCATTTCTAACTCTAATATGTCTCCCTGGCTTTGAATTCCAATTTACGTTATAGAAAATCATTAAAACTCTATTCCCTTCGTGTGTGTGTGTGTGTTTATTTCTACAAATTTGAAATTTTGATACATAGAAAATGATGCCACATTTGCAATTTGCACCTTACGTAATTCCTCACCGCATCATGCCCTGACTTTCCAAGGGAATTTGGGGTTTGGTAGTCCGAGGTTCCAAGCACAAGGAGCTTTAGGTCAAAGACTTGCGGCGTAAACAAGCCAAAATCCTAATACAATCCCCATTTGCAATGCACATTGACTATGAATTTTCAACAAAGTTGGGTTGGATCCAAAATCGAGATGATATATAAATCAGAGATTCTCTTAGTATAGTTATACATTGGCCACTACAAATTATTGGCTACCATACAAAAATGTCCCTGTGGGAACAAATATGAAACACATTGGATGCTCAATTTTATCTTAGTTCAAGAAAAAAAAAAAAAAAAACATTGAGCACTCAATGTATCAACTGACAATCCATATAACCAAAGAACTGCCTTGCTTGTTATGTGTAGTCCAAATAAAATTAGGTAAACCCTCTTACGAGGCTTATCCTATGTCAACCATAATACCACACTGTCCTTTCCACCAACACCAACATGATCTAAGCCAAGTTAGTATCAACAGACTTCAAAACCTTGATCTGGTTCAAGAGTAGGGTTCAAACTCTACAATAGCTAATCAGCCAGCTTCCCATCGATCAATAAAAGAGAATTCCATTACATGTTTTTACCCTACAGAATTATTGTTTCAGGTAAAAAAGACAAAGATGAAGCACCTATGAAAAGAAAATGTGACCGCAAGCCATAAAATAGAAATGTAAAGCATGCAGTCTTTTAAAGGACTCCTTATGAAACAGAAAATGTAAGATGCTTGCCAAAGAATTAATGGAAAACTTGATTTTCCTTGACTCCATATCTTCAAGCTGAAGGTGCTCAGCGCTAGCAGAGCACCTCCAAAGAGTAGAGTAGTAGGATTTCTCGAGAATATAAAGACAATGAGCCCCCCACTTAGAACAATACCACCTGCAATAAAGTGCCACAATTAGTTATTGCAAGGGAATCTACAATGTCATTCTATAAATTGTTTAAGGGAAAAATAGTGTTCAGGGAAAGATATACTACTCATCTACAAAGGAATATGTAAACATGACTAATATTGTGGAGAAATCCTGTAAAGCTACTATAAAAAACTACAAGCTTCTAAAGTTTTAAATGTTCATACCTATGAGATTATGCTTCACAAAACTACAAATGATACAGAAAATAGTTCTTTTG